ATAACGTGTATATAAACACAAATGTTATATATTATGTATGCCTGTTTGAACCGTTTCAACTCATCAGTAAATAATTTGTATCTCAATCACGTACAAGAATGGTTTTGTATGGTGGAGATGTTATGAGGATAAAATAATCACCTTTGCGATGAAGTTAAAGATGAGAACGACGACGACGATGATGATGATGTTATAACAATGATGTTGACGAATGATGATGATGATGACGACGACGACGATGATGATCAACAACTAAATTATTACAACACTGCAAACAGAATGAAACGGCAGACGCAACAAACGCCAGATTAAAAATATGATTCTGAAATTGATTTCATTATCGTCGAGTCAATCTTTCTGAAATAATCTTCAGCCTGACTTCAACCGTTGTTTAAATTTTTCGTTGGCTTCAATAATAAAATTACACACACACACACACACATACACACACACACACAACACACACACACAAACACACACTTACACACATAAACTATCATAAGCATAAATACATGTATACATATTCATTTATATACAAAGTAACATATATACACATACATATATAACATAATTGTCATCATATATTAAAATAACAAAAGAGCTTTTGTAAATAAACTCACTAGTTACAATATACACACAGTTTAAGAAAATAATGTTTATTTATCACAACCAATTAGCGATTGTTTTTTTACGTTGTTGTATACTTATTATTACTGTTATTATTACTCATTAGCAATAGTATTTGTGGTAGCAGTAGTCATTGTGGTAGCAGCAGTGATTGCAGTAGCAGCGTTTGATTTGTAGTGAACGTTTTTGGAGTTGTGGTGTGATCGGGCAAAATTTGTTGTTGTTGCTGGTTAGTTAGGGCTGTTGTTGTGTGTAGTTGCTGTGAGTATGATTCGTCGTTGTTTGTCTTTGGGACGGTCAAAAAACTCATTTTTCATTATTTTTGCTATATTTAAAATCATTTCCCAACTACTATTATTAACGCTATTAATTCTCAATCATCTAAGTAGTTGCACCATCAATAATACATTTGCCTTCTCTCCAACCTACTCATTGTATCCTCCATCATCTCTGGTTAGCATCACATGAACGTGGACGTTAATTGAACAAGACTTGTCATCATGTAATCATGACAGTTCTCAATCATCTCTCTCTTTTTTTCTCTCTCTCTCTCTCTCTATATATATATACATATATATATATAATATATGTACATATATATAGTTGCATGTATGTGTATTTATGTGTATGTGTGTCTTTGTATATATGTGTGCGCGCTTGTGTGTGTGTGTATGTGTGTGTAATAATTATTTTTGTATCTAAATATATACTTCATAACGACCTTGTAAAATGACATAATTAATGAAGTCAATGTCGGCTGTTTGTTGAAAACTAGCATCCTTCATTTATTCATTCATTTATTTATTTATTCATTCATTTGTGTGTTCGTTCGTTCTTTCGCTCGCTCGTTCGTTTATTCGTTTATTCATTCATTCATTCGTTTTCGTTAATCATCAGTGTCACAAAATCAAAATTAAAGCAAAAATGTCATCATCGTCATCATTGCAGCGGGAACCATCTTTCTTACTATAAGCCATCACCACCACCACCACCATCATCATCATCATCTTGGTTTGATAGCTATCATTTGTTTCTAAACAGTCCTTTCATCATGATTTTATGTTATCGTCCTAATGTATAAATCATAATAGAATTACATAAAACATACAAACATACACGCATAATATATATATATATATATATATATTTATGTGTGTGTGTGTGTGTGTGTGTGTGTGTGTGTGTGTATGTATATATACACACTCACACATTTTGATATTACTCATATACGCCTACGTGTATAGATTTTAAAGAATCAATTGAAAATTCATCTTTAAATCAGTGAAGCCATGATTAACAACAACAGTAACAACAATATCAACTACAGAACAATAACAACATCAACAACAACATCAACAACAACATCAACAACAACAACAACAACAACATCAACAACAACAAAACGTTGATAACAATCAACAGACCACAACATCCTGAAAACAACAAAAACAGCAGAACAAATGAATGACTGTAATGTTAAATATCAATTTTTATATTATGTTATATATATATATATATATATATATATATATATATCGAATATATGTATCAAATATTCATTAGATTTAAATATAGTTAAATATATGAATTATATGATTGTAAAGGAAAGAATGTATGTGTATATGTGTTTGTATGTTTGGATACGTGTTCATGTGTGTGCGCGTATGTATGGTGTGTGTGTGTGTATGTGTGTTTGTGTAACTAAATGAAATATTGTAAGAAGTAACTCCTACGCATGTCTTTGTTCAAGGAATAAAATTTCTTCTTATTGCTGCTCTAGTTGATCTGATACATTTTGCATACCAGTCATTGTCTTTCTCTCGTTATGTTTGTTTGTTACTATTATTATTGTTATTATTATCATTATCGTTGTTGTTGTTGTTATTATTTGGTTAGCGTTAATATTATTGTTGTTATTGCTATTTTGTTTATTGTTTTCATTATTGATGTTGTTATTTATTCATTGTTTTTTTTTGCAGTTATTCTTATCAGAAATTTCAACCGTTCATTTTGGCGTTCCTCATCCCATCCTAAAACTCATCCAAATGCTCGACCAACAGAAGACAGACGAAGCAATTATAACGAAATATAATCATTAGAAAAACCATAATTACCCATCATTATAAACCCGCACATATATACACACACACACTCGCACGCACATGCACACACACACTTATACATAAATATGTGCGTTATGTTGAATAATTAAATCATGGTGATGGTAATTGTGATGCGGTGATAATTAGGTTGATGTTGTTGAGAATGATGATAATGAGGTTGATATTAAGGATGATGATGATGATGATGATAAGGATGATGATGACTATGGCGGTGATAAGATAGAACATGATGACAATGATTAGAGTGAAGTTCGCGTCATGCACAGTTGCGTAGCCAACGTACATAGGATTGTTATTTTTAAAAGTTATTTTCCATTTCAACGTGAAAATAATTTAAAAAAAAAAGTTAATAAATCAGTGGAAAAGTTGAATGAATGAAATTAGGTTTATGAATTTATGAATTTGTTGACAGCGTAACGTTGTAAACAACAGCAGGATGGATGGATGGATGGATGGATAGACGGACGGATGGATGAATGGATGGATAGATGGATGGGTGGATGAATGAATGGATTGAAATCTTATTTTATGACAAGGAGAATGTGTTTATTTTTTAAAATTATTTTACTTCATCCAACCATCGTTTTTCTTTCTCTCTCTCTCTCTCACCCTCTCTCTTTCTTGTTCTCTCTTTTTTATTTAGCTATACCTATATCATCCTATACATATCTTCTTTGTCTTTCTCTTATTTTTTTCACTTTTTCATTTCATCTTTTTTTCATGTTATTTTCTATTTATCTTTCGCTTTCTTTCTTACTTCCTCTAATTTCCTCTTTTTCTCGGTCTTGCTTTCACTCGCTTTCTTTCTTTTTTCTTACTCTTTCTCTATCTCTCTCTCGCTTGCTTTTTCTTTCTTTCTCTATACGTATCTGTCTATGTTATGAGAAGGATTTAATAATTTAATCAACTTCAAATGGTGTTAAAAAACTGTCGTATTAACCAAAAAAAGCACAAACAGCATACAACCCACGTTCATCACCGGTCACACATTCCCTCATTCCCTTTACCATCTTCTTCCTTTTTCTTACCTTACCACATTGACGACGATTAGTACTACAAATTCAGAAATTTGTTTAAATAGCTAACTGACAGCTGTCAGGTCTGCTGTGAAGTAATTATCATCTCTCAATTATAATAATTGTAACATTAACAATAAAAAAAACTAGTTAGCATCAAAATAATAATAATAATAATATTCTTTATAACAGTAATAAATAATAGGAAATAAATAATTTTTTTAGAAGATTTAGACAGTTGTGGCGTTGTGGAAGAATTATAATAATAATAATAATTATTATTATTATTACTGTTATTGCCTCGTAAACAAGAAAGTCGCTTTTACGTAACTTACTGTTTTTAAGCAATAATTGGTGTTTTTATCGACGTTTTAAAGTTTAAATTTGGTTTAGCAGTTGAGCAAAATTCTTGTGATTATGGCTGCCGTTTAATTCAGAATTTTAATAAAAATTGGATTTTTTACCATTTTTACAATTTTATTGGTTTTTTATTGGTTTTAAATCAAATAAGTTTAATAGTAGCTACAATTTGTCCACATTGTTTCAAAGATTTTATTATCAAATCGGTAACAGCGACAATATCTCCATCTCAAATAACACATTGGTCTAAGAAGTTAGATACGCTTCCCGAAAGTGTGTGTTGTCAGTGTATATTTAATTTCTTTAAACTGTTCCAGTGAATATAGCTTACCATTTTGTACTGCCAGGATATAGCTTGTCAGTTGTTGCAAGCGCAGGACAACCAGTTAGCTGTAATATGTCCGATACATTCTTCTGTTTTATGACACATTCTGCATGACACATTGGCAACTTCTACTTTTAAAATACATTTGTTAAATCACCTTGTATTTAATTATTATTATTTATTATTAATATTATTATTATTTTTATTGTTGTTGTTGTGGTTGTTACAGCTATTAATACTAACGCTAAAAATTAATGACCTTAATTTTCAAATTAACTCTATTCATCTATTTTATGAAATTTACAACGTTTCATTTGTAAAATTAATCTTCTTCTTTTGGATTTGGTTTTAAATAAAATTTTAATAATTGCAAATCTTAATCGTCGTTTCGCGGTCATGGAGGCGTGCACGTACGTACGTACATATAAATCTATATATACAGTCGTTAACAATACAACTACAACAGCAACGACAACGACAACAACAATATTAACAAAACAACTCTAACAATATCAATTACGTCATAACATCAATAACGTCACAACATCAATGGAAAGTACGCAACAACAACAACATTACAACAACAGCATCAACAACAAAAACCTCAACAACAAAAACCTCAACAACAACAAACAACATCAACATATTAACATCAAAAACAACAAAAGCACATTAACAGCAGCGACAACACAACAAAAACGACATATGTCTGATCACGTACTCGCTGATTCAAACGCGCATCATTGTTATACATATTCATATACATACATACGTACATACATACATACACACATACATGGTCGCGTTTCACCAGCCCAGGTGTTGACGGCTTTAAAGTCGTTTAATAATGGTTCATCGGGAGGCCTTGATGGCCTGAGGCCTCAGCACATAAAGGATTTACTTTCCGGTCCGACGCCCACCGATGAATTGTTAAATAACCTCACCCGGTTTGTAAATTTGTTGTTATCTGGGGTCTGCCCTCCCGCGGTTAGCCATTTCTTTTTTGGGGGCCGTCTGGTGGCTTTAAACAAAAAAGATAGAGGGATCAGACCCATCGCGGTGGGGAATTTCTGGAGAAGGCTGGCCAGTAAGTGCGCTCTGGCGCTAGTGTTGGAACAGGTCAAAGCCAAACTCTATCCTATCCAATTGGGCGTCGGCGTGAAAGGTGGTGCTGAGGCGGCCGTCCACGCCGTACGTGAACTGATTTCAGCACTTCCAAAACGGTGGGGATTCTTGAAGATTGATTTCAAGAACGCTTTCAACACCCTGAGAAGAGACTCAATGTTAAAGGAAGTTAAGCAGCACTGTCCTCAAATTTATAATTTTTGTCATTCCGCATATGGCTGAGTCTCTTCTCTTGGTTACGATGCCTGGGTGGTTGAATCGTGCGAGGGCGTACAGCAAGGCGACCCTTTGAGACTGATGCTTTTTGCTCTAACCCTTCACCCGCTGTTGACGAAGTCATCCTCGGCGTTTGTTTGTGGCTACCTGGACGATGTCAGCTTGGCCGCCGAGAGTAACATCTTAGCGGACGACTTCCTGTCGCTGAGGGTCGGCGCTTCCATCATTGGTCTTGAATTAAACACAAACAAGTGTGAACTACTTGTAAATGACACGTTTCAAATGCCACACGTGCTGGCTAATGTCCCCACAGTGCCCCATTCATCATTAAATTTTTTAGGCACTCCAATGATGGCCGGCGATCATCAGGACAGGTTTTTTAATAAAAAACTTTTTGAGCTAAGATTTGCCCTTGAACGTGTCTCTCTTCTCCCGGTCCACGACGCGCTGACAATCATCCGCGGCGCCCTCAGTTTGCCGAAATTGATGTATTTTTTGCGCACATCCAACTTTGTTAATGCGGCCATTTTGGGCGAATTTGAGGGTGCTTTGCGGGTGGCCCTCTCAGCAATTTGTAACGTCGATATTACCGACAAGGGTTGGTCTCAGGCTCAGCTGCCGGTACGATTTGGGGGACTGGGGTTACTAAGCGTGGTTCAGCCTGCACCAATTGTTTATAAATCTTCCGCATCTGCCACGCTTGACCTACAGTCTGCCCTTCTTCGGCAATTTAGTAGCCTACACTGTACTCCACCGACTCCAATCCAACCAACAGACCTTTCCCAGGGCAACATTTTGGAGGAAGCATATAAACGCACATTCAAAGAGTTGCTTTCCTCAAGCCCTGACTCGGCGACCTCAGCTCGCTTGCTGGCAGTATCCAGCGAGGCGAGTTGTGGCTGGCTGAGATCTTTGCCCAATACGTCGGTGGGTACCAGATTGGACGACGAAACGGTCAGGACAGCCATTGGCTTCCGTCTGGGGTTGGCCGTTCAGAGTCGATACACATGCAGGTGCGGCGCGGAGGCGGATGAACTCGGCCATCATGGTCTTGTTTGTCGTTTGGGCGAAGGTCGCCAGCAGCGACATTCAGCCATAAACGATTTTGTGTGCCGACTTTTCTCCAAGGCCTCAATTCCGGTTTTAAAGGAACCGTCGGGCATTGCGGCGCACGACGGTAAACGCCCTGACGGGTGTACCTTGATCCCTTGGAGAGCCGGCAGTTGCTTGGCGTGGGACGTTACCGTTCCGGGCACCTTTGCTGAGCGCTACGTGCAGCTTACTAGCAAAGAAAGCGGTTTGGCTGCAACCAGGGCATCTGACGAGAAGATCAAAAAGTACGACGGAGCTCTCCCCTCGATGGAGTTTTTACCGATTTGTATCGAGGTCCTCGGCCCCATGGACCGTAACACCTCCTGGTTTTTCAATCGAATTTGTAAAAATATCAGTATTAGGTCAGGCGATAGTAGGAAATATTTTTTTACTATGAATAATATCTCGTGCATCCTGCAGCGGTTTTTGCGCGTCTGTGTGTTGAAAAATGTGGAGTTGAATGCCGACGGGGTTGAGTGACGTTATAGCAAATAAAATCAAATTTAGTCAGACGCTTGGCTTTTGATGTCATTCGTCAATGATTTGGTTTTAACATACATACATACATACATACATACATACATACATACATACATACATACATACATACATACATACATACATACATACATACATACATACATACATACATACATACATACATACATACATACATACATACATACATACATACATACATACATACATACATACATACATACATACATACATACATACATACATACATACATACATACATACATACATACATACATACATACATACATACATACATACATACATACATACATACATACATACATACATACATACATACATACATACATACATACATACATACATACATACATACATACATACATACATACATACATACATACATACATACATACATACATACATACATACATACATACATACATACATACATACATACATACATACATACATACATACATACATACATACATACATACATACATACATACATACATACATACATACATACATACATACATACATACATACATACATACATACATACATACATACATACATACATACATACATACATACATACAGACAGATTTAGAGGGCATGAAAAACTACCTATCGTTCATAAAGGATGCAGGAGGGAGACCCGACGGGGGGTACAGTCGGTATCAGCAGACACTGTTATTTTATCCAAACTGACTGTACCGTACGTGGCTAATAGAACAGATAAAACAGCGTGAGTTATGGTGTTTGTTGAACCCAGGTGAGGTCGGTGCAAGAGGTGTTGTTGGTTTTCAGTGTACAGAATTTTGAATGATTTTGGTTTGGCGGGTAAAAACGATTGTGTTGTATGAAGAACATAGGCCATACAGCCGAACAAGCCAGTGTGTGTGTGTGTGTGTGTTGTGTGTGTGTGTGTGTGTGTGTGTTAATGTCTGTGTGTGTGTGAATGTCTTTGTGTGTAATTATGGTTTAAAAAATTTAAGCTAGGTTTCGTTTTTGAATCTTCAATACTGAGCATTCACCTTAAGCTGTAGAAGTCTAAATTTCATTTCTTCCAAACGAGCCGGACTTTAATCATTATCATCAACAGCGTCGTCGTTGCCACATGTAAGATTTTGCGAATAAAATATTTAAATAATGACACACCAAATACGTGCATTATATGTATTATAGTAAATTATATTAATACTCGTAACAACAACAAAACAATAATAATATGTGTTTGTTTGTTTTTCTGCTTGTCTGTCTGTCGATTTGTCTACTTGTTTGTCCGTCTGCCTGTCTTTCGAGTATGTGAAAAACTGACAAATCCGTTTGCCCCAACAAATATCTATGATCGTTAATAAGAGTTCCGTCGTGTTTGTTGGTGTATGTGTGTGCTTGCGTGTGTGCGTGTTTAGTTTTTATGAAATTATGTTTATGTTTGTGTGTGTGTGATTATTTAAGTTTGTCTTTCTTTCTATGTAGGTGTGAATGCATTTAGATGAATTTATGTTTGCTGTATGTGTGTGTCCGCAAGTGAATTTTTGTTTAAAAATGTGTTTTATAGACATAATATAAAATGGGTGCGCGTGTGATGTGCTTGCATGTTTGTTGAATCGTTATTATGCTAAGTTCTCACAGGTTCTTACACTTTCGAACACAAATTTGCATAAGTTCGCTCGTTGGTTTCTTGGTTCATTCATTCATTTATTCATTCACTCACTCAGATTTGCCACAAGTCTATTGAACGCAATTAAAAATGTTAAACAGTTCTTTCTCAGAACCACATAGGTAATAATAATCGATCATTCATTTGCATACATTAATAAATGCATTTAAGCGGTATAATGCTCGGAATCGAAATTTTTTTAGTGTTTCTAAAAACTTTATTATAGCTACTTTCATGCCTTTGTTCAAATTTTTTAAAAACTTTCTGAATAACAATCAAATTTTCAATTAAATTCTATAAATAGGATTAATGTTCTTTTGTCTGCAATAATGCGTAACACATCTGCAACCACAGCCATAAAAGCAAATATAACAACGCCACATAAACCACAGCGTTTGACGTTAAACAATATACTTCTACAAAATTATAAACCAACAAAACAAACAATACAAAAGTGCAAAAAGCTTCAGCCAAACATTTTCACATCAACATCACATCACAACTGCTCTAAGGTGACATTGGGCTGAACAGCGTCGCCTAAATAAAACAACCACATCAAAACACTCCACACAACACCAATAACACACCACTAACACACCACATCGCTAACACACCACATCACTAACACACCACATCAATAACACATTACACCAATAACACACAACGATAACGCCAGCAAAAGTTATGACGTCCTCTGAGAAATGTGGAGTTTGTTGCAACCTTCTTTATTCGCCACCTTCTCATTTCGCGTGTGTGTCTAGGTTGTGTTTGTCACTATGCATGCCAATGGTCCGCATGTTTTATGACATTTTGGTGTTGTAGGGGTTTTGTACTTTTATGTTTTGACACTTTTTAAATGAATCAAATTTTACCTTTGCTTTTTCATATGATTTTTGTGAAGCACAAAGCAGAATATTATGGATTAATATTGCAGGTTTTTTTTTGTTGCAGGCAAAAATGTTTGGGTAAGTTTTCAATAAGCCATGGTTTATAACACTACCTATCATTCATTCATTCAGTCGTTCGTTTGTTCGTTTGTTCATTCGTTTATTCATTTGTTCATGTATTTGTTCATTCAATCATTATTCATTCAATCATGTAACAGTACTGCCGTACTGCTATACAACTATAATGTACTGAGCTACCATTGGTACTGTTGTATTCTTAGTACCGTAAAACTATTGTAAATTGAACTATAGTAGCACTGCAATATTATAACGTAGGTAGCTTTGTTACACTGTGCTTCTAATTATTATGAAACCTGGAGCTTTCTAAATTGATTCGATCATCAGATTATATAATAATAACTGGCTTCTGTCTACCTTTGATTAATATTAATGGTAATAATAATAATAATTATTATTATAAAATTATTATTATTATTATTATTAGCCAATACAATTTGAATATTTAACCTCCTCTATACAAATAATCAAATATATGAATTACAATATCTAGTTATGATTCAGAGAATGTACCAAATTTCGTCAGAGCTTGTGTGTTTGTTTACGCGTTTCTGTGTGCGTTGTGTGCGTTGTGTGTTTGTGCTTTTTGTCTGATGTTTGTTTGTTGTTTGTTTGTTTGTGTGTGCTTGTTTGTGTGTGTGTGTGTAACAGAAAAAAAGTTTTAAAGAAAAGTTGTTTTGTGTTTGTGACCGGGAATGAGGTGCAAAAGAAAAATAAAATAAAACAAAAATAAAATTCATTGTTTGCCTTTCTTTAGCTAGGATGTTTCGTGTGATGTTGCGCTTGTATGATGTTGCAATGGTGTGTTGTGTTTTTAATTATCTTCTAGTTCCAATGTAGTTTTGTGCTGCTGTGCCTGCTACTATGAAGTTATTAAGAAGGTTCGTTTGTTTGTGGTGACATATTTATGGTGACAGTGAATATGACGATGACGACGATGATAATGATAACGACAGCGACGTAATGATAACATTGAAAAAGCTAATTGCTAGATAAGAACGAAAATGATGTAGATTCGGTGATAAAAATAATGATGAAGAAGATGACGAAGAATGGGATGATTAAAGATCACTTATTTGTAAGCGATAGTGAAGTGGCACTGCACCTTTGTAAGATCTGATGATAACAATGTCTCTCCCTCTCTCTCCCTCCCCCCCTCTCTCTCTCCCTCTCTCTTCCTCTCTCTCTTTCTAAATTGTTTTCTCATCACATGACTGTCTGCTTGTAGTAAAAATTTATGAATGATCACGTTCTGAAGTTGAAAAAGAGAGATACTTAGAGATTACTTTATCACCGTCATCATGTTATCTTGCTATTTTTAAGCCCTCACATATGTTCTTAAGATGACGATTGTCTCATTTTCCCATATCTCTACAATTATTCTACCCTCCTTATATAATTTCAGTCACGATATTTGAACAACACACAACACACTCACACACAAACCCATACACAAACACACATACACACACTTATTGCCTCGCGAACACAAGCACACAAACATTTTATCTCACAGCGTATCAATAAGAAGCAGATAATGTCTCGAAATAATAAACTAATTTAAAAGTTGAGTGTAAAAAAGTTTGTTCAATTATTATCTTCGAAATGTTGAACTTTGAAACATTTTATCGCATCGACGTATCACTACTACTACATTGCTGCTACTGCTACTTTATGCGATTTCATTCATTGTATTATGCATGCATAACAAACATGTATGTAATAAGAGTATGTCTCTAATAGCTGACACAATCTTTTTATAATGTAAATAAATGTATCAATATATACTTGTATGTCTGTGTTTGTATGTCTGTATGTGTGTATGAGTGTTTGTCTGTGCTTGTCATATGTGTATGTTACAAGTGCACGTGTTTATTTTCATTGAGAGGTTTGACTGTCTATATTCACACGCCTTCGGAATGAAGTAATTAATTGGGCTCTATAAATTTTGAGCTTTGATGGTGAAGATGATTTTTATTGCAAACGTGATTCAAGTGCTGTACTATTTTCAATTCGATTTTCAATGCAAGAGATCTATATCCTGATCGTCTTTGTATTCAAAACAGTGCAAGTGCAATTGGAAAAACGCAGAAACTTATGATTGCTAAAAAAAGTTGCTAAAAACAACAACGTAGCATAACACATTTGACAAAAAAAATCACAAAACACTTTAGCAGCTTATTTGACGTGACACAAACATCATCCCAAATGAAAAAGTTACATGAGCCTGAAACAAAAACGTCGGCATGCGACATGTAACACAAATTAAAAAAAACTGTATACCCTCTGTAGCAATATAATACAGGACATCATTATCGATTTACCAACAAAAAAGCAAGTCAACCCAAAAAAGCGCATTAACATAAACAACAACATCATTAATAACTACATCAACATAACAATCGCATCAAGAACAACAACATCATTAATAACTACATCAACATAACAATCACATCAAGAACATTATCAACTTAAAAAAACGCATTAATCACGTCAACAAATACAGTCATAACTTTCAAAAACATCATCATCAACAACAAATAATAATAGCACCAACAGCATCAACAACAGTAATAACAACAACGTTTCTTAAAGGGAATAATGCCTACGTAAATAAGCAAATTCCAAAGACTACTTAGCAAAGTGTTTTTTCTACGTGCGATAATTTATCGTCAAACATATTAATATTATTATTGCAAATATGTACTTCTTCATTGGTTCAACTGTCATCATAGTATAAGGTTTATTGAACGTTTAAGTATAAATATATAATAATAATTAATTTTTTTATTTTGCATCTAATTTGAAATCTGATTTATAAATAGTTCTGTTGTGATTTTATGAAAATATTTCTTATAAATTTGTGAATTAATATTGTTTTTTTTTGCCTGAAAAAATAACTTTTTATCTTTATAAATAACTGTATAATAATAATAACAACAACAATAATAACAATACTAATAACAATAACATTAATAATAACAACGACAATAATAATGACAATAGCGAAGACAAAGATTTAACAGCCATTGTTGAATAACTTAATTTATAAGTAACACTTCCGGATTGAATGTCTGCCGATTTGCTGATGTGATTATGTGCTGACGTGATGATGTGGTTATATGATAATGTGATGATATCATAGTGTACTAATATGAGATGATTCAATTGAGAATGACTCATTATAATTCTTTCTTACTTACAAACAAGTCGCGTTCATCAAAAAATGTCGTGATGAATCGTATCGTATGTGTAGGTGAGTAAATAATTGCGCGCGTGTGTATGTTAATCTGTGTGTGTTTGTATCTGTGTGTGCGTGTGATTGTTTATTTATCTATTAGTTTCCACAAACAACCTCATGTTAATAACTTGTATTATGTTTATTTCATAAAAGAATTTTGAATTTTAAAATAAAATAAAAATAAAATATTGTCAACGTTACAACAGAAAAATCTTCAATTAGCTGTTTGATACGTTAATGCGAATTAATAAAACAAAAAGAAACATTAAACTGAACTAATTTTTGCTCTCATTTCATATATTCATTTTCATAAAAAATACATCAACTGAATAAAAAAATTAACATTTGATATAGACATAATGTTCATAAAATAAATTACTGTCGTACGGTATTGGCACGCATTGATCTAATTATGTTTTTAATCCTAATTCATTTTGACACCAATGGCAATTTGTATGGATTGGATATACACTGAACAAGGGCTTACGAGTGGGCTTCAAACAACGATACACACATTCCACTTCACACCCATAGAAACTAAACAGCGCACGTGTATGTTTTTGGCCAGGTTTCATATGAAACAATTATTTTTATATTTTGCTTCTATAGACTTTTAACGATGAACAATTATTAATTACACGTAAAATAAATTGTTTCGTTGCATTGTTACTAAAAAAATAGTATTAGTTGATATTAAACTTGTGTGCGTACATGACAAGTAGGAGCATTTTTGTTTAATAAACAAACAAACAAATAATATTGTATAGAAGAATTGGCATAACATTTTAAGTTATTAGAAAAATATATAAATTAAGTTACTTTTATAAGTTAAATGGATACAAATTTTGTAACAGTTGAAAAGAAAGTTTGATTTTGCAATGAATGACAACGTGAAAATGAGCTGTCTGTCAATTAAATGTCTCTGATCAAACAAGGTTCAAAAATATTAATAGAAATATATTATTAACTTGTGAAGAGGTTTTGGCTCAATTGAAGAAACAAACTTGAAACAATATAATTTTATGATAACGTTGATACATGTAGAAAAAAACATTCCTTGTTCGCAGAGCAAACAATTATAAAATGCGTGCCATCAATAAAATGAAATTAATATTATCGTCACATGAAATATTTTTATTCCACATCATTGCATTACATTAAGTTAGGATGCAATATAGTTGATGTAAAGATCTAAAGATCAACGATGCTGCTAACAGGAGAAATTAAACAAAAAAAAAATTGAAGGCGGTCTAACTGACATCAACGTAAGTAACGTTCGTCCCGACAACCATTAATAAATAAGTGTTAATAAATACATGAACAAAAATATAAATGTTAATCATTATAACGTATAGGTAAAACGAAATCAATGTTGATTAAAAGTGATAGATAACTAAATAGTAGCTGCGTATAAAATAAACGAACTTGCCCCGTTGCCTTGCAATGAAGTTAATTTAAAGTTTGAGCTGCGTTTATAAATAATAAGAATCTTATATATATTTATTTATATTTACAAAACATATATATATATGTATAAATGTTTTGTTTTTGAACAGAATTATTTGTTATTTACATGTTAGTTTTGAGTTATCATAAGATAAGAGAAAAAAATCTGTATTTTGAAAGGCACAAATAAATAAATTTAGAAAAAAAATATTTGAATAAATTAGAATGAATAAATAATATAAATAAACAATACCTCAGAAGTTTACAATTATTTTAACATTGAGAATTTGAAAAATATTACAAATTTACAAATGTTTTTGAATTTCGTAATGTTTTGAAATGAAAAACCAACAATGAAGAAAAAAAAATGAACGTTAAAATATGTATGTAATAGAACAAAATCTGTTTTTAATAGTTTATGTTTAAAAACGAAAAAAAAAGATTTTCTAGCTTTGTTCATTAAACGGACATCGTTGCTGTGGAAGATTTCAAAATGTTTTCTAAAACAGTTCTTAAGAATAATGAATCTTCAGTGCTTTTATGTGGCTGGAAGTGAGGCAGCTGCTGTTGCAGCTGCTGATAGTCGTCCAACATTGTAGGACTAGGTGTCGGACTGTCTGTGATACTGGAGGAAGCAGATGGCGATGTCGAATCTAACGAATTGTTGTACGAAAGGTAAGGATGAGATTGATGTTGCTCTTGTTGCTGTTGCTGCTGCAAAGTTTGCTGAAGTTTTTGTAGTTGCTGCTTGTATATAAGCTGATCAATCAAACTGAGAGCTGCCGATGAGTTGATTGCATTTGAAGGCAGAGAAGCATTTGCAGAGGATACATTTGAATCAATCGTCAATTGTCCTTGCATTTGTTGGCACTGAAATGTTGATGGCATTGAGGGATTGGCAGCACAAGATTGCAGACCCAGCAACATAGGCAGCTGTTTGTCCATTGCCGTATCTAACGACATCTGTCTTCCGAAACAACTTCCATTTCTACTGGAACCTGCAGCGCTAGAAAGAGCAGCGCTATTACATTCTCTGATCATCTGCAATTTCTGAACAGCCACCAGCCTCTGTCTCAACAACTGACTGCTTTGCAGTTCAAGCAGTGCTTTATGCTCTGAGAAGAGTTTGCTGATGAGGTTCAAACGTCGCTCTTCGTCGTTGTGAATGAAGTGGCATCGCGGTCCATACGGGCAGAGTCCTGTGGTATGGTACGTCTTGCATAGATCTGTCTTGTACTTTGGATGTCTAACCAGCGATCTGAGTTCATGTTTACCGTGAGCGAATTGGCACTTGTCTCCGTACTTGCACGAGCCATTTTCCTCGTAGGGACGACAGAGTTCCGTTTTGTAGCGACAGTAACTGGTGCCTTCCTTCAAAGATTTTTGATTGTTGGAACCATTTTTGTACGGTTCGCTGATGCTGCGATTCAATTTGATGTGGCTGTTGTTTGCACTGCCTTCTCTTGTTTCGTTACAATACCTAACTGATGTTTTGGAAGTTAGTTTGCCTGTGTCGTCATTATTCAACTGTTTCTGCTGACAGTGCTGCTGCGGCTGTTGAGTGTTGCTGTTATGTTCTTCAGGCTGCTTGTTGAAATGGTTCAAATAAGGCGATGCTTCAAAATTAAGACAAAGTTTAGATAAGAGAGCGGAGATATCTGAAGCATCGGAAGGCAGAGATGCACATGTGTTACCATCTTTGTTGTGTTTGATTGTGCGGCTGTGTAGAAGATTGTTGAATATATCGTCGTCGTCACCCTGGCTGTCGTTGTCGTTGTAGGATGTTGATGACAAGTGGACTAGAGATGGAGATGACGTTGTGTCATTGTTCAATGAACGATTGTTCCTCAAAAGATCGTTGTTGTTGTTGTTTGCTTCTGGAAGCGAAAACATGTGATGTTCACTTATTGACGGCAATCTCTCCGTTAACGACCCTCTTCGATCCTGGAAGAAAAAGATTTATTTTAAATAATTTTTTAATATTTTATCAAAAAATTCACCGAAGATACGATGTAATCAAAAAATTGTTATCTCTCTAAATGTTCGAGTATTTCATTGTTATTTTTAAAAATTATATGCCTGAACGTAATAAAGTGCTCAAACACATAAAAATAAGAGAAGAAAATTTTACGAATAACATAAAAAAACGAAATGTAAATAACAAATACGTGTTAACCTATCAGTAGTGGCCATTAAAATTAAATGCTTCATATATTAAAAACAGTTTTACAGAAGCGTAATTTAATAATGATATCAAATGCGCCATATATTTTTACATGAATAAATTAATTTGTTATATGATAGCCATATTTATCATTTTATTATTATGAATATTATTACATAATGATCTTATTATTTTTTTTGTTTGATTCATTATGACATTTAATAAGAGTGAGTTATAATAATTATAATTAATCAAAATAAATTAACATGAAACGAGCTTTCCTAATAAATAATCAACGCTGTATTGTTAATAGTTCACAGAATAGAGTAATCATCATCTCATTTTCTTCATTTAGTTTCGTTGCGGCTTGTAATGAAAGGATGACTTCTACTAAAAATAAATGAAAAAATAATGAATAAGCGTGCCGATTTAATATTAATATTTATGTTATTAGTGGGCTTATCAAACATCAATATTTTCAATTTACACATTTCAAAATAAGTATTTATCTAGAAAAAAAAATTGTCATAGTAATGATGTTCTACTCTAATTTATTCAACAAATTTCAAGACTCATATAGTTTTGTTTGTCGAGTGTTTGAATTTCAAAAATCTGCTAGAGTGTCAAGTGTCTGATCTTCATATTGATAGCATGTTTGGCGAAACTTAATGAAATATTTAGAAACAACAACATCGATAACGTGTTTCTTCGATTTCTTCGAACTCTCACCGCCTCACCTACAGCATTGTACTGGTCAACAAACTCAAATGTCTGGTCTCGAGCACGAACTGAACGGTGAGCACACGTCAACATGCATGCATGCATGACTCTACTCTTTTGTGATAGACCTTGCTCTGCGCGCTCGTCTGCCATTCAACATTAATTCACACAGATAAAAATTATCACGTTTAAACTCTTAACCGATTGGAATCGATAACTACTATTACTTGATCGTAATGTACTTGGTGTTTACTAGAAATTTGAATAATTTCCATCAAACTGGAGTGAAGATGGTCAAGTACATCTTATATTGCCTTATTTTTTAAACAATTCAGCTGAAACAATTTCAAATAAGCGTAAACAAACTTGCAAACAATCTTTTCAATTAAATGTGCTGCATCGATTGAAAGATGGAAAGGTTTTTTATTTTTTAAAACTTATTTGAATATAACTTATTTGAAATTGTTTTACTTTCGTAAATTTTTTAAAGTTAACAAATGAAATTTAAATGGGTTAATAAAAAAAAAGTGAATGACGAGAAAATTAATAAAATGTTATAAAAAATAGACTTACATGTGAAGAAGAGTTGAACTTCTGAACTGATGTTGTTTGTAGGACGGTGTACAGCGAAAGGTTTTGCTCAAACATTGTCATTTCCAGTTTTAATTTTTATTAAAAAATTCCAATATTTTATAAGTAAAAGTAATATTAAAAACGATTACACACACAATATTTTTGTAATATTTGAATTGAAATAATATAATTTTTAAAAATTTTCAAAAAATTAATTTAGGGTAAAAATTTTGTCTTGTCAAAATTATGATTATATGGTTTGGGTGAAACTTGCAAAACGAATGATTTCTGTTCGTCAAGCTGAAACTTGTCCAACCGACGAAAAATCTTCAAATGCTCCTCATCTATCACTCTCAGCTTTTTATAGACGATCGTTTTCAGCTCATGAATATTAATAAGGCCCGACGGATGTTCAAATGTCGCTCGATGCATATTCATCAGCGTTGTTAATGCGTCGTTAAATCTCTATTTGCTAATTGTTCAAATAATGTTATATATATATATATATTTATTATATAAATATATATATATATAATATATAATATATATATAATGCATTTATATATACATAATATTGTCTTGCTTATGCACACACATTCAAAATATAACGTGGCTCATTCGACGAAGTATAAGAATATAAATAGTTAGATAATGACATTATGTGAAATTACACATCTACTCTACTTTCAGCTGTTCGTCATCTTGTAAGCTGAAAATAAAATTTTCGCGGTATTTTGAAGTGACGTGGATGAATAAGCGCCAATAAAGAAATGAGTTGTTGTTTGTTATCAGTGCTGGAACTGGAACATTCAGGAACCATCTCCTCTCTTGTCACGAGGTGTCGTTGTCGTTGAACATTTGAAATAATCATTAAACAGTTGACTACGGAAACTTTCATATAAGTTTTTCTGCCAAAATGTAGCACTGAAATGTAGCAATAACCACACACTTTCTATTATCAAGCAGGGGACAAAAACTCATTTAGTTCTGATGAATTTTCCATAACAATTGAAGCGCCCAAACTTGCTTTAACAATTTATCAGTTGTACCAAAACTATTGTTTTCGGTGATGTCTTGAAGTTGTAAAGGCATGTGTCGTGTCTTGTGTGCAGTCGTCTTATGTCGTGTTTCAACAAATTCAAGAATAAAATGGACCTCCTAATGTCTGCTCTCTCACACGACAACGACACACAAAAACCTGCAGATCGATGAATCGGTAAACAAAAAAATCAGACCTGAAAAACGCATTATCATAAACGCAAAACAGATTCACCGACAACAAAATATACAAACACGTGCACTTTATCAACAATAAATCATTGACAAAACTTAAAGCATGAGCACGCATTTAAATTTCCGCAAGAATACTATACATAAATAATGTTTACATAAACATAAACTCATGAACTGCAACGAACGCAGGTGCATAACAAAGCAGGAATTTAAATGGCAATAAATAAATAAATACATAAGCAAACAAACAAACGCCGCGCTTTTATTATTTTTATTTCTTGAAAATAAATCAAACAAAGAGTTTTTTATTCTATTTTAGTTTGCAGTTGACGAAGAACTGAAACGGGCATGATGATTTGCATCCATCGGAACACCAGCAGGTGAGGTGAAGAAATGTGATGAATCTGCCGTGCAATGTACGTCCTATCGCCTCATACCTACATCTTCTTCCGCCCTCTACTGATTGGATACCACATAAACAATCTGCGAGAATTTATTGCGTATTGTGTGACGTATTGCGTGTAAATGTACATGCGTTTACGTGAACGCTACATATTTTGTACGCATTTAATCTGTTCACACATTCAACTGTTCAATCGTTCTTACTTTAATTCATTCTTTTGTTTCTTCATTCGTTTATTTAGTTATTTCAAAACTTAATGAATTAATTAATAGTTTGATGACTAAACAATGAACGTTGTTAATGTTGAACTGAAACACTAAAACACCATGTGGCAATCTCAACATGTTGTGCACATTCATGTTTCTTTCATCGTATCAGACTTCTTATGTCATATACAGTTATATATATATGAATATAAATAAACACTATACATAGATATAAAACTCTATGTATATACGTAAGTATTGTTACTTAACTTTTGAGTGCCTGGTTGTTACTTACTTATTTGAAAGAATGGTGAAATGAAACACGAAGGCTCCTAACCAACCAGCAACCTACCTACTTGCGTGCCTGCCTGCCTGCCAACCTATTCATGGGATTCCGTAGAATTTCATTTGTTATCACCATAGCTAATTCTTGCCTACTAAACTTTATTAAAAGCACACACACACGCGCGAACACATGTGTTACACATACACGCACGATTAATATTATGTCTAATAATAAAATTTTGAGGTTAGCTTTTGTGTTAGCTCGAGCAGTAGAATGTTAACAACGTTGTCAGTTCGCCAAGATCCTGAACCAATTTGAGAGATTTCAAAGCAAAATCTGCTCATAATTGTTGACGTTCATTATGATTGTTATGATGCAGCGTTAGCAGATGATTCATTAAAACGAGGGTTCGTTTATAAAAATTTTAAAGTTTTCATGTTTCTGACAAGCAAGTTAGCTTTTGTCGAAGATAATTTTAAAAAACATGAAAAAAATGAATAAACCATGAAGCTATCGCGTAACAAATAACGTGTAAAATGTGTACAAATAGTTGAAACAGGATAACATTAAATAACTTATGTATAAGATCTCATTTAAGTTAACATTTTGGGTAATCGCGATAAGCAGGCTGGTTATAAACAGTGAAATTTCCCAGGTATTAAAAGACAAAACCGACTGTTACCCAAGAAGGAAGTGCTCTTCAACCTTTTGAAGTCTCTAGCAAATGAACTTTCATTCATTTGCGCACATGTGCTCACGATACCTGCT